AAATAGGCACTTTTCATTTGACTGATATCAAAAACACCCTAGTGAACGCATTCAAAAGTCCAATTACCTAAAGATTGTTTTAATTCAAAATTCATTGCGTGATGAGTTTAAATGCCATCAACGTACCATAGAAGTTGTACCTACATTTTTATGATTCACCAAATGCATAACCTTGAACTCTCTGAAAGCCCGTTTGGCATACGTAACATTTTGAAATGGATTGCATAATTTTTTAATAGCAACTGCTTTTTGTGCTACTGTATCGAACGCTGAACTGAAATATTTTTTCCATTAATTTTTTTTTAATTTTGGATCTCAATCCTCGCTTACCATACAGTTCCTTGAGAGCCTGATCCGGCCAATTTCAAGTTTTGGTACCGACTATGCACAGTGAATGTACTATCGCCCAATGTTATAGAATAGAATGAATGAACGTTCATCTTCGAGTAACAAAGCGGCAAACTCTCTCAATATTTATTTTCTTTCCGCTGAAGTAAGCGCTCAAATGGCTGAAGTAGTAACGACAAACAATAACTCGATGTAAGCCGTAAGTATAACAAAACAAATCAATTTGTCGTTTTTGTGGCACCACTTCCACAGTAACAGAAAGAAGTCAAACCAAAGAAATATGTTTTTCTTTCTCTCTATGGCACTCAGGTATCTTATTTTTATTTCTATAAAACTTTCGCCAAATCATTGAAGTCTTTTGTAAAGTTACGACAAACCCGAGGTAACATTAAAGCAAACATTCTTTATTAAGAGTGGAAAAAGACAGATTGAAGCATCACTTGACTTTCGACTTATTCCTGGTATATGACATTAAAATATGAGCAGGCACAGAAACAACTCGACGATTCTTTTCCGTTGAGCACCATTCATTTTTTCATTCATGAAGAAATACTACGGTTTTTGCTTTTTTCGATTTTTCGAACAAACAAAGTGCAGCGAAATATATTTTAAGAATTTTTCTTTTGGCATCCAAATGAGCAAAAAAAAATTCTGCTATATTTTAAGAGTTCTCAGAAAATGTCAACAACATAGAATACACACAATACAGAAACGTTTTTTTTATGTCCAAAACAGTATCTACTCACTCAAAAAAAAAAATTATGGGAGTTCACGTGAATTTATTTCTAAATATCGGACACTGTACAAAGTCACGTTTCCAATGGAAACTTTCCATAGAATCAATGCAAATTTTAATAACACATTTGTTGATAATCAACGATTTTCATAATGCAAATTTAATTTAGTTCAAACTTTGCGTTTTCTAGAGCTCATGCTGAGAAACTCTATTCCTTGTTGTCGACTGACTTTTTTTCATCTGAAATCATAGAACGAAAATCCTTATCAATGCTTATCTGCACGACAAAAAATGAACGGTCAGCTGTAATGCGTCGAAAGTGAGAGACACTTTGACGTTTGTGTAGCAAAATTTCGAGAGGGAATATATAAACAAGTTCCTTTGGAAATCCCACTATCATAAAATGTTTATTTCTATTTTCAACGGTACTTCAAACTGTATGTTCGCCTGGAGTGTGCTCAAACCGCTGAGTGTGGGTGAAATTCAGCTACAATCAGTTCGTTTGATGTTGTTAAGAAGGGATGAAAAGATAAGAATTAAGAAAAAAAACGGTTCTTTTTATATTTATAATATATTCATTTATTTATATTTATTTTGTGTTTGCATGTGTATGAATGAGAGAAAGAGTGTTGTGTTGTTCACCTAATGAATAAATATATAATTTCTAAGTGTAAATTTTTATTTGTTTTGATACAAATGCTGTGTTTCTATTTGCTTAGAAATTGGGCTTGTTTTACTTGATTCTTGTTCAGGAGAACATTTTTATTACGCGCATTTTACATGTTGTTGTCAACGTTAAAGAGGTTTCATTTTTAAATGCTATGAAAGTCCAGAGACATTTATGCTTCGTACTATTACTTGTCAGATGTGTTTTTCACGTTTTTCAGTGTTATTTGTCGACAAACAGCAATGATGTTGCGTTTTTTGTATGTTTTTTTTTTGTTGTCTCCTGCTTTATTCAAACCAAATGAACCATCTACTTAATACAAGAGTTTTATCCATCATTTTCTTTCGCAATATAAAAATCTGCAACGTTCTGCATTACAGCACTCGGTTCTTTACAATTACTACTGACATGTTTGGACAGTGTTTTACATTTAAACATCGCACGTCTCTTTTTCTTCTTCTCATTGTTTTTTATTCACAAATGCATTCTCACAATTGATCTGTTCTCTCTAATGGAATTTAAATCTGGTTTTCTTAAGAAGACTTCGAACATTGAGGGGTTTTTTTTTATCTCACCCCATGAAAACTCTTGATTTATTTCCACATTAGAATTGTCAAAATATTGTTACCGGCCTGTTGTGTAAAAAGATGACTGAGTGCGAGCGTTTTGCTCAGATTGTTCGTGCATCGGCTAATATGGCATTCGACTATTCAATCGCAATGTGACTAAATTCAATCAGCAAATAGGTTTTTCTTCCTCTCTTTCTCTGTACACAATCAGACCGTCTATCAAACGAGCTGGTGTCGATAATTTCAGAATGTGATAAATTGCCCGGCAGATTTATGTGTTATTTACTCGTTTAAACTGCAGGTATTCAAAATTGAGTCTATGTTTAAACTCGGAAATATTACGAAAATTGTGGTTTGTTTGGAGATTTTACTTTAAGAATAATTTGAACAAAAAGTTTTCCTATCGCTCGTTTTTTTTAATATCAAAAACTCTTTCTAAATGTCAAGAAATTTTTATAAGCTTTTTTTGTTTATTTTCAAAAATGGAACATTTAACCGTGAAGGTTTCCAAATGTGTGTCACCTTTTGCCAAAAACAAATCATAACAGGTTTTTTTTTCGAAAAAATTTCACAAACAATAAAAAAACACCACGAACAAAAAAAGATTTTATTTTAAAAGCGCAGAAGAAATACTCGTAAATTATTAATCACGCTTTATGATTCGATCGGATACAATTTTAGGTTTCAAATTTTTTGGATCAAAGCTCGGCGCATTTCACTCTTCATCTCATTCGTGAGTGGGAAAGATTCAAGTGAAATGAGTATGGATGAGTAAGATTGAGTTTTTCTTTATTTCTTCATTATGTTTGTTGTTTGATATTGTGATTGTGATTGAAAATGCTGCTATTGCAAATTCGTTCTGAAGTTAGACCTAACACTATGGACTTTCATTTATTTGGATTGAATCATCACTTCAAGTGGGATAGTTATAATCTGCTTGTTGTTGCTGTTATTGTTGTAATTTGTATTCTGTATATCATTAATCCATTCATTTTAAATCTCTCCAAAAAATTGCCTTATCATTGTATTTCTGTGTGTATATTTTTTTCTCTCTTTCGGCTACAAAACAAAACAACGTGTTTTTTACTCACTTTATTATACTTAAACGCTCAAATGTATTATTATTTGTTTGCAATATTTTTCTTTTGTCCGAAACTTCTTATCTATTAAAATGTTCACTTATTATCCATTAATTTGGGTTTATACGGGTAAATTTTATTGGTTTTGTTTTGTCATTTGTTTCATTATTTTTCTCGCTATTTATATTTGTTTTTTATGTTTGTTTTTTTTTTCATTAATTTTAATTACATTATTGATGACATTAGTTGTCTGTGTTCTTGTTCATTACAATCAAATATCGCTAAATATAATTTACTGCAATTTAACTCTACTTTTTTACCATTTGGGCTTTCATTCTTCTTCTTCTTTTTATTTAGTTAAGGAGAGTTATGTAATTTTATTACTAAATTGTTGTTGTATTTTGGTTGGACACACATAATCTTGTTTTGTTTTTTTTTTGTTTCTTTTTTTTCATTAGATATAGATCATTGCGTACTTATTTTGTAAATATTATGGCTGGTATTATTGTTGCCGATGGTGTCTATTGTGAGAAATTGTAAACAGAAATGAAAATCAGCAACGAACTGGGTAGCAGGTAAATAAAAGATAGGCGATCAAAATAGAACGAACAAAAAAAGAGAAAACAATAGAAAAACCCAATAACAAAAGAAATCATGTATCAACTGAATGGAAGGAGATCTGATGCAATATCATTTTTGTTGCTCAAAATGTATAAATAGCTCAAAACAAAATGTTGCAGACATTCATATCATTAAATCGAACAATACAAGATTTAGATAGAAATAAATATTTAGAAATGAAAAACACAACAACAAAAAACACACACTGCTTCTTCTATCGAAATTGAATGCGAAATTGAACAAAGAAAAAAATAGTCTACACTTTCTCACAATTCAATTGCATAAGTTTGCTCAGCTCTTGCTAGTAATTTTTTTGTTTCATTTTATTTACAATATACAAAAAATGTATTAAAAGTCCTAAGCGTGTGTATAGGTTCTGTTTAATCATCATTTTTAACATCGTCTTCTACAGTCTACGTTTTTTTTTATTGTTTATTCATATCCAATTTTTTTAAGTAATTTATTTTTGTCAACTCTGGTTGGTTTGTTGAGGGGGGAGGGGGGGGGTTGTTAATTTTCATCATTATCAGCAGCATACTCATTATCATTTTATCAAATGATAATGCAATTATAGAGAATATAAATTAGTTATGAAGCTTACAACTCATTCCTCAAAATTATTCAATTTTCACTTATTTTCTGTTTTCATTTTCTTATTGTTTTGCTGCAAAACTTTTATCGGTTTTTAAGAATAGCCTTCGAATACAACGATAGTGAAAGAGTCTGTGGTGGTTACACCATCTCTTCTCTCTCTCTTTGTTTAAATAGGGCTGGGGAGTAGGGGTGAATTTATTGCTCTACCGTGCATTTCCACCCACTGCTTCCGCTGCGTTACCGCCACCACCGATGCGCGCTTCATATTCCATCACCTCCTGGTAGATTAACTCTTTCCATTGTTCGACGGTATGCTCACGCTCGTCTACACTATGATCGTATGGACCAGGTGCGGGCTGTAGGGAGACAAACAAAAATAGAAACAAACCACAAATGAACAACATGAAATGCATGCCCTTTTTCTCCCATCGCATCATAATCAAAATAGAACGAGTAGAAATGCAATTAAAATGGCTAAACTCACCGCATTTACTTCGCTCTCCTCGAACCATACATTTATGTAACTATGCACTAACGCTTGATCGACGGAAATCCGGTCCTCTGGATCAATGACTAACATACGACTAAGTAAGTCACGGGCTTGTGATGCTCGTAACCGATTGTGCTCATTCGAATCACTTGGAAATAGAACGTCCGGAAATAGACGATCAAAACTGTAGCCCGTGTATCGGGGACGATTTTCAACGTAATTGCGCACAGTCGGCTGAAGTCTTTGCATAAATGCTGCTGACGGTGTACCCAGTTGTTCTGTTTTCATTTTTTTTTTGTTCGTACAAATTCAAACAAATTAAATGGTTGCAATAAATCAAGGGATGAAAAAGATTGCCTTTTTTGTGTGTGTGGTAAAACGATGAAATAAAATTTGTAAACAAGTTTTAATTTCCTATCGAATTGGACATATTGGATGCTATGACGAATGACCGATGATACTTATGCACAATAATATCATTTACATTTTATTTTGCGAGCAGATTAAAGCGTGAAAATTTAATTAATGATGATTTGAAAACATAAAATGCATGTTTCAACGTGCGGTTCATTGCATTCAATTGTGGCAATCCGTTTAATTTAACAACATTTGTTGAATACAATAGTGACCATTAATTAAAATGTTGATTCGCATCATCACCGTGTGCATACAATGGAATTGTTAAATAAATAGAAAAAACCGCATATATTTCATCGACGAAACCGCACACACACACTGACATAAAATGGAATGGCATCATTTGGCTGTGAAAAATCAACTCACCAATAATTTTGTTCCACTGGTCAATGTGATCTGTGCCGGGGAAAAGAACACCGCCTCGAATCATTTCTCCCATGATACAACCAACGGACCAAATGTCAACGTTCTCGGTGTAGCCCATGCCAAGAATCACCTCTGGCGCCCGATAATATCGCGTCACAACGTATGGTGTCATCATAAATGTTGTGCCAGCCGTTCGGGCTAGTCCAAAATCTAATATCTTTAGTGTGCAATCGGATTTGACGACAATATTGGATGGCTTCAAGTCCTGCAGTGACAACGAAATAAACATGAATATATCATTTTAGCAAAGAAAATGGGTGGCTAGATGGTAAAGACATGACATACCCTATGTATGATGCCCGCGGAATGTAGATGTTTTATTCCGCACAGCATTTGATAGAGAAGGTATGACATACGCTCGTGGTCCAGGTCCATTTGTATGACCTGGCACAGGTTGGCGTCCATAAGTTCCATGACCAGATACACATCTTGGAATTCTTCTAATGTGCGTTGTGGTGTGAATGCATTTAAAAGTCCAATGATCTGAAAACAGAGAAATTTTACGTGTAAATTAGGATTTATTTTCGCCCGTTTTTCTTTTCGTACAGATTCTGTGATGAACAAACGATTGCACATAGCAAACAGCCATAGTAATGGAGTCCCTTTTTTTATAGCTCATCCCCCCCACCAAAACAATTTCCACTTTTATGAAATACATTGTTCTCGTTTCGATGACATATCGCTTTGAATAAATTGCGCGAACCGTATACAATTCGCACGAAAAAAAAACCAGCACATGAGAGTGTATTGTGAAGTGGCTTTTGTTGTGGATGACAAATTTTTGAAACCTTTATTATGTTCTTTTGCAACACAACAATAACGACGAAGACGACAAAAAAAAACACACAAAATCGCATGCGAGTAGCGAATGCGTTCGTTTATGAAACGATTTCTAAATAAAAACGTTCAGCACTTCAGCGCTCTGAAAGGATTTATCTATTGTGAGTGACAGTCGTTGATGATAAAGCCAAGAGCATAACAATGCAATTTTGTGATATGTTTTTGCGCAGCAACAGCAACACAAAAAACAGAGATAATAAACAACGCAAAATTGCTGCTTATGATTCCATTATCATTAATGCAGAGATGCAAAAGGGAAAATTAGATGAATCAACGTGTGAATGATGTACAGAAGCAAACCCAGACCGCAGATCGTCGCTTCGCTCCGCTCTGCGTTCTTGAAGCTTGTAAATTTAACGGGTTTAATTAATTTGATGTTTCCAATCAAATCATTATCGTAAGCACTACATGGAATGTAGTTTTAATCGTAGTATACTTTTTGTATGCAAATCATTCTAATATTGTCAAAAATAATCAAATAAATTTATATGATGATATTGTATTCTTCAATTATTGTTTTAATGTACGTTCAATGTGAATGGTCATCGTACATTATTTCACATTGGCAACGAAAAAGTGTCAATTTTTTTTTTTTTTTGAGTTATCTCAAAATTGAATTAAATAAACATGATATTATTTCATTTTTGCAATTAGGCGTAATTGCTTTATTTGAAATAAAAAACATGGATATTAAAATGAATTAGTTTACGGTCCAAAAAAATGGCCTAAAGAGTCTTAAAATTTTCTCGGGAAAAAAAATAACAACTACAGTAGCCTACATTCCATGCAGTGCTAAAACACATGTAACATGTGCAATTTATGCGCCAATAGCAAAAGCAAAGTTTATTTGCCTTAATTAAATTCTCCCACATAGGCAGCAGGCGAAAAAAACCCGTCCATAAGCTGTAATCCGCAATTGTAGCTGTGTAGCTGTTGGTGTTTCCGTAGTAAATTAGTTAATGTCATCGTAAGCATTTTGTGTCTGAAGAAATATCCATTTATAAATCACATGATCGTTCAAACTTTGAGTAATTGCGGCAAAATTGCTTACTTCCCTCAATTCGATGGCAATGCGAGTCCATTTCGAAACAGAGAGTAACTTTTTCCGCCAATCCGAGAACGATGTGAAAGACAGGCAGGCTCGCTGGCAGACACTTACATTACAGTCATCATTGAATTATTCACTCGTCTGGGCATTTTCGTGCTATCTGTTTGCACACGGTGAGAGAGAAAGAGAAGACTGATGGAAAAGAAGCAATTCTGATAGCTGTCTGCTGATGTTAAACTTTCTACGAGGAAATTATCTCTCTCGCGCGCAAAATTATAATCTACTCGATTTTAATTTAAGCACACCGAAACAAGCGGTATCTCCTCATTCTACTCCCAAGGTGTTCTACGCCAAAGAATCACATGTAAAATTGTGCTCATCAAATCGAAATAAAAATACGCGAATGCGCAAGACAGATTTGTTTTTTAACTGCAAAAGTTTTGATATTCATTGAAAATTTTCGCTATCCCATTCAGCCAATTGTTCAGCACAATTTTATACAACTTTGAAATAACATTTTCATTTTATTGCAGTAGTAAACTTTTCCATGGCGCTTTTCATACGCTTCGCCTTTCGGAACAAAAGTTTCCGAAATAATATTGATTTTGTGCCAAATGCACGATTTGTCTAGCTTATCGATTCATAGCGATAATTAGATATGGTTTTTTTCCCTACTATGGTCACACGATTCTGTCCACATTTTTAACCACCACAAAACTTTGGAAGTCACGACATACTTTTCCATTGTAGTGAAACTAAAACATTCCATGTTAATTCATTCAGAATAATCCAAACGCTCTGAAAAGCTTTAGTAAAAGTTGCTTTAGTATTTGTTGGGGGTAACAAAAGTCGATCTGAAAATCGCATGTTGAAAATCTGTAATACGGAAACTTCTTGCGTTTGCTTCCACTTTCACACTGAATGAGGTGTATGTGATGTAAATATATGAAATAGGTAATGAGTAGCTCGTGTGCAACCAAAACTCACGTCAGAATTGTGAGTTTGAAATTAAATGTAAACCCAATCCCGGATAAAACTTTTGCTCGGTAAATTTTGATTTAAAAATCCACAAATTCAAACCACTTTATTGTGGATTTTGTGGGTACAAGTTATTGAATGAAACATTACTAAGACTCTCTCATCCAGAGTCAAGAGGTTTGAATCAAATGTGTGGTTTCTACTTGAAATACCAAGCACAATCGATTATTAAAACAATCGAATTAAACGTAAATCGATAAGATAGAGGCTAAAGTTTTGTCCGTTTTCGATTAAAACTTGGTTTTACTTCAGAATTTTCGATGGACCGCATCCAGACGGAATGTATCGTAGTGTCGTATGTTATACGGCACTTAAATTAAAATTGCTCGCCTTAACTTCGACTTCGTCTTTATACCCAGAGAATTACCACTCGCCAGATACCTGTCAGTATTGCAATAAAATGGAAACGAGCGTAAATCCAAACATGTATAAAACTGTTAGCATCCTGTGTGGTTCGGTTGGTTGCATTAAACCAGCAGTACTTGAATGGTACATTTAATGTGATTTACGATGCATGAAATACAAGAAGAACAAACCTTCTCTCTTTGGGACACAATGTGGCTTGTGAGTTGTTGAACAATACATGATGCAGCACAGCAAAACACATCACGTCTCTGCAAAAACTATCAGTTTTAATGTGGTAAAGAGCTTTTGCTTCACAATACCCTCCTGCCTGACGGAGACTTTTAATCGATTTATGTACATACACTGTGTTTATAACGTGCCGGTTCGACAGTTGGTTGGCAACACTGTGATTGATTCAATATATTTATGCTCATCAATACTGTGAGAAACAATACATGCGCCTGTGTGTGTATTGGTTGACATGAAACGTCGTTCTGTTTCTTCGGCGCATTGGAAGAATATATACACAAACACCGCAGTGCCGATGTTGTTATTGAGATGAATCATTTTACAACCGCGTTTATGACAAACAAGCAAATTTCGGCTGTGTGAAGTGATGCTTGTTTTGTTATTGGAACAAAACACTGTTCTCTTTATGTCTCACTTTCTCTTATGCATTCATGTTTAAGCATTACAGCGGCAAATTCTTCTCCATTTATGCCTTTCGTGTCTCTTTCCAAATTATGTTTCCCAAACACACACACACACACGTTTTAAACACAGACAGGGAGTCTATCGCGCACTTGTTTTCATTTCATTTCATTGTTCTAACTGTGTGTGTATGTAACACGTACTATGGGTGTGTTGCGCACTGGCTTTGCCGAACAAGCAATAAGCAAATGGTTTTCGATACGTAAAGTGAGGTGAACGTCTGTATGTATTGATTTGTATTTGATACACACAGTTCAATCGCAATTCTGAATATTTTGTGCTCAGGCGCTTGTGTGTACGTTTTGATTGTTGTGGGCTCGTGTTGAACATTGTTTGGTTGGCAGAACTGTGCTTGCTTTTCAGCATTATTTAGAAGTGTCATTCCGGCAATGAACAAACCTAGTGTATGTAAATATTATTCACTTGACCTGCGTTGTTCAAAAAGGCTTTTTTCAACAACTCAAATATTTCATCGCCAGGAATCATAATAAATTCAATGGCCCCACATTAACTTTTCTACGTTTAAAATTCGATACTTACATTTTTGTGATTAACTAGTTTCATAAGCTTAAACTCCCTGTATGCACGTTTGGCATGCGTAACATTTTGAAATGGTCTGGATAATTTCTTGATGGCAACATTTTGTTGAGTACCCGTGTCATATGCAGCACTAAAATGATAGAGAAAGCGGAAAAAAATCGAATATTCCATTAATAAATGATCATACCGGAAATCTGGCAATGGGCTTGATTAAATATTGATGGCCAAGGCTATTTCAGAAGAGTTAAAAATAAATTCACAATTCCATATTGTTCAAAGTTCCAATGAATACAATACACCACGGAAAACTGTCCGATACAAACATAAATTTAGTATAAAGTTTGTAATTATTAACATCAATTTAATATTATCTTTTTAACATAGACATGCATTTAGTTAGAGAAAAATGGGAATTGTTCATTTGAATATCATGCATTTGAGAGTTACTAACGTAAATATTTGACTGAATACCAAATCGAAAAGAGAACCCAAAAAAAGTTGGAAAATTCCGTAAAATTGACACAAACACAAACATTCAATTAACATAACCACACAAACAATTGCACTAGAAAGAAAAACCGGAATGAAAATGTAGTTTCATCATTTTAAAATTGAAATGAAATTCAATTTTTGTAAATGATATGTGGCATTTAATTTTTACCTCGTTGCATTGAAATGGTCAATTTTCAAGCGTTTCATAACCGAGTCGTATTTTTTCCAGAAATATCTAACTCTGACTTTTACATCGAAAACACATGCATTTCGAATCAACCGACAGCAAAATGAAAATGGAACATGTGAAAATGCAGATACGTGGTCCGCAAAATTCCATTGAAATAAGTCAAGAAAATGTCGAGAAAATAAAATCAATATCCATATAGTTATGGAAAATAGATAGCTATTATTTTTGGACTTTCAATTTAACATTTTTTCGGAATATCGAAATGGCAACCAAGATTAAATTTCAGCTGAATCTCGAAAATCAGAGAAAAAAAGGAGTGGTGTTAGCAAGAAGTGACAGTTTGATTAGTAAGGAAGAGAGAATGCGCTCTTATTGTATCTAGGATTACTTGTCTGGTGTTAAGTTCAGTTGTGTCGGCAATAGGTTGGCTACTTACCAAACAGCACCTTGTGCACCGATACCTCGAGCGCTCAGTGAAATGTATCGCGGTGGTACTAGAAAGTCCGTATCACCGAAATGATAGCTTTGGTAAGCGACCTCATTTTTTTCTACAGGCAGTTGCTGACTTGTTTCGGTCATAGTTTGTGTCATAATGGGTTTTCTTCTACTCCCTTTTTTTCTTTTTCTCGTCTATTCTATCTGTATTTTATGTTTTATTTCGTGCGTCGGTTGCCTTTTTTTCTTTTACTCCTTTTCAGTTTCTTCGCTGATTAGAGTTTTTCAAGTACTTTTTAATTGCACTTAATGATTTATTATGAGAAATTGCTCGACACCCGACCAATATGACGAAAGTGAATTGGAACAAATAATAATAATAAAACACAATTGGAATATCGCGCACTCAACTTTTTTTTCTTTTTCAATAAATTCTATCAAATGTTTGTTGAATGAAATTCTAGTGTATATCAACCGCACATTTAAATACTACGATTGTTCGAAACTAAAAAAAAAATAAATAAAAAAATGCAATAAGTGATTTATAATGTACTACAAAAACAATTGTTCACAACATTTCATTTACTTCAAGTTTTTTTTCAACGTGTGACCAAATTTCCAAGCCAATCATTTCCATTTGTTCTAGTTTAACTGGAATAATGTTGATTTTATTTTCTGCAGATATTTTTCATAAAACGAAGAAATTAAAGAAAGAATCAGGTTGAATGTTGAACTTGATTAAGTTTAACATTCCTTTTCATTTGTACGGATTTTCGAATTGATCCTCAATTAATCATGAATATAATGAAGAAGGAAAATGCCACTTGCACAAATGAAAACGTATCCCATCAAATGTCTGCAGTGAAGATCCAGTGCTTGTGTTTGTCCAAGAGGAAAATCAATGGCATTTTTGAAGATTTATGAATTTAGACTCGATTAGCTTCTTTCATCACTGGATAGTGCTCTGAAATTGCCATTTCAGTTAAATGTAAAAACAACGTAATAGAAATGAATTAATAGTTCATTCTGAGAATAGTGAAAATTGTCGAAAAAGTCGTCACTGACTGTCAGTGCCATAGAGAACGTTTATTTTCGTCACGGTACTTTTTGTTTGCTATAGCTATGCATGTGCTGCTTCAGGCAAATTCCAGCAATTTTAGCGCTTACAATCTATCTATTGCATTTGGTGAATTTTCATTTGATTGACTCTCTTCAGCGAACTGTTGAGTTTTCGAGTTAGCACAACAAATGCATGTTAAATGATGCGATGGCGTTGAAATGGAAACGAGGCCACGTCGATAAACACGAGTGCGCACACTTAATGCAACTAAACAACAATTATTGCAGATAATCTCATTTCATTCTAAATGGAAAATATGTGCAAGGAACACATACGAATTGTGTTTTGATAAAGATTCATCTGTCGATTGAAATGGATATGTATGTTTGCTTTTCGATCAAAATAATAAATGTGTGTATAGAATGCAAAATTAAATAAAATTTCCGCTGAAATATACATGTATATTTTCCATTTGAACAGCAAAAAAGGATTATCCAATAATATTGCACACCATATATCGATTCCGTTCTTGTTTTTACTTCTCTTCTTTTATAGTTCAAACAACAATGCAACCGTGAATATACGACTTACCATACAATTCCTTGTGCACCTGATCCAATCGGCTTTAAATTCTGGTATCGCTTATGTATAGTGAATTTGGTATCACCCACCTCAACGGTGTATAAAACGGCGTGACGTGAGCTCATTCTGATTTTGCAGCTGCAATTTTAATGGCCGCAAAGCAGCGAGCTTTCTTTATTTGATTCAACTCTATTGTCTGCAATTTTGAAGGAAAAAAAAATGGAGAACGAGAGGGAGAAATAAAATTTGGAAAGTACAAACACACAATGAGTTGTTGATTGCTTTTAGTTTGTATGTTGATTTTTATTGCAACAACAAAACGCATCCCTCCAAAACTTAACGAACAAAACAAAATCAACGTTTTTCTATCGTGTAAAATGTAAATGAACTTTCCCGAACTTTCTTTGAACTCAATCGAAATGCGAACGATGAAAAAAAAATACACTCGACATAAAAATCGAAACCACGAGTCAGGAGGGAGCGTCATAGAATTGCATGTGGTAATAATAATAGAGTAGAACTCACCATAATGCGAACGATGCCATTATTCACTGCAAAATATTGTTTGATCTGCAAGCAAAAAAAGAAAAACTGTGTTAATTATGCCCATGCAGAGTCGGTTTTCCGCTTATTTATTTCTTTGTGTTTCACATTACCCGCGCAATGAAATCATATTAAGTAATTAAATAAAGTCGTGTTTCAACTGCAACAACAAGAACAACAACGACCAAATGTGGAAATTGAATTAAAATGGCACCGACAAAACGGGCAAAATAAATACGAAACCATGTTACGTTCCGAACCAAAGCACAATTAGCGAACCGAATCGACGAAGATATATTGGATCTCATTTCAGGACGATTTATCAACTCGTGTTTTTTATTCTCTCCATAAAAATGAATCTAGTACATCGATGGATACACAAAATCGCACGCTCTTTATGAAAATCTGTTCAGATTAACATTGGACTTGGCTCAGATATTTAGGTTGAAAAATAGGCAATGCAGAAACAGTATATTTCATGCTCTTACATCCATCTGCAGAAGATTTATATCTGTAAAATGCTGTTCATATTTTGGTGATTTGATGAATTTATTCTTTCGTTGGTTAAAAAGCTATGCAGCCAAAACATATTGCATTTGGCAAACCAAATGTGTGCTCCCAAAAATCATTTTGCATACGAGCCAAACTTCTATTCATACATGTTCGGATATTTTTTCTTGTTCATTGCAAAGTTTTCGTTTCCAGTTGGTCTCCATTCAAAAGAAATTTTCTACATCATGAATGAGAGAAAAAGTAGAACACAGAAAGTAAGAATTGAGACTACACCATTTGAATGAAATGAAAATTCCAAACAGAATACCAGTCACTGAATGATGATTATAAAGTTTCATTTGAAAATGAAGTGTGCCTGTGCATGTTGATTTTATGAAATAATATTTTGCGTCGATTTCTGATTGATTCAAAAGTTTGATCATTTGGTTATCAATCACTTAAATGTCCCAGCGAACACAACCCCTGCACCACACTAACAAAACAAAGTAAAACACGAATTTGCGATGAGCGCATTCAGTGAAGTTCATTTCAATTCTTAACGTCGTTAGACGCACTCATGAACGCGACAAATCGAACGCATCAACAATGTTCCGTAATGAAAGAAACATTTAGTACTTATAAAATTGATGTTTATCACGTGCTACGCTCTCACAAAAATCAATTTTGCACATTCGTGACATTTTTATTTTTTTGTCTACTTTATTAACAAATATAAAAAAGATTCAATAATACATTGAACGATCTGTGTCACAACTTTTGACACTTGTCTTGTAGCGCTAGAAGTGAGCTGTCAGACGCTTAGATGCAGGACCTTCGGGACAAAACCATCACCATCACCATCAATAGCGCCAGCACATATATCGGTGGCCCAAATTATGTCCATCAAAAAGAGAAATGTTCGATTGGTATCGATGGGCAACGCAGGAAATGTCCATTCGATTGACTTTTCGTCCAATAAATGGACAGCATCAATTTGTTACGAAAATGGATGATCGGTGAATTTCATTGAAGTCTATGTAATGTGATGTGATGTGGCTTTCACGTATCGTATGGCGCATCGGATCCCTTGTTTCGGACAATGAACATCAATCACAAAATCTCTTCATATTGAATCTTTATTTGGGATTTATGTTGTGTCAATGAAAGGATAGAGCGGGAGGGAGGGAGCAAAAAACCAGTGCTAACGCAATACTTCCGGAAATTGAAGACGATGCCATTGTGAATAGTACAATAGACTTCGTTTTCCCATTACATTGCTATTTGTGTAACGCATTATTGGTACACATTTTCATTTCGAATTTTCATTATCGCAAAGAAAGGAGCCGCCTCACTAAGTTTCAGCAGTGGGTATGGATGTGTGTGTGTGTGTGTGTGTGTGTGTGTGTGTGTGTGTGTCTATGTGTGGATGTGCTAACAAAACACGGAACAATTATTTAGTTTGCAACACAAAGGGATGGAAAATCAGGTTGACATGCAAACAAAATCCGAACACATCCAATATCTGAATCGAAGGCTGTCCATGGGTACTTATCAGCTCAAATACACAGCGTAGCATTGGGTTCGGGCTTGGATTGCCGTAGCCAGAGAGAGATATATAGCATCGGTAAATGTCCAGTTAACCAGCAAAACCTTCAATGTAGAAAATGTGTAGTGATGCATGTTCGGGCAATTCTCAACGGAGTCACTATACTGCTGAGAAGCACTGTATAATAGCCAATAAATATTTGAAAAATACAATGCAAACTCTTGCTCCCTGCTCACAGCACACACATACATTGCTTTGTGTTCAATTTATAAACAACGTTTGGCATTTATGTCGGAGCATTGTTTGCATCGACAGAACTATTGAATAAATAAATCGCCGCAAACCATTCACGTCCATACGGAAGTTTATGTACTTTCTCAGTTGTGGTCACACACACACACACACAGTGTTAATTGGATCAGAAAAATCGCAACACAACACAGCACCATAGATTGCAAAATGGTTTTTTCTCTCGCAACAAAGCGAACACCACACACGCTTGTGCTTTGCTCTAAGCTAATCAGAAGAAAAATTGCGGAAAAATCAAACCATTTGCAGGAAAAAAGAAGAAATTGCATGCAAGTGCAAAGAGACACGATATTTTTAGCGCGTCATTTTCCCTCAAGCTACAATATTATTAATCTCAACGTTATGATAGCTCAAAGGTATGAAATGAAAGCATATCACTTGAATATGCTGCATTGTGTCGTAATTTCAAACACGGTTCATCCAAAGATAGTCTATTAATGTGTATGACATTGACGACAACGACGCACCAGACATGGGATTATCTACATCAACTCGTGTATGAATTTTAATACAGGACATATGGCATCGATGTAATGGCGGATTTTCATCATCGCTTGCCGAGCACACACCAGAGATATTTTCACATTCATTCAAATATACTTTATTTAACAAGCTAATTCGAAATGAATGCCATGCACGCACACTGTGGTACAAATAGTGTAATTTACTATGTTTTATGGTGTTTTCATGTGAGGCGCAAATCACCCTGAAATTTATTCACCCAGTGCATTTGGTTCATATTTTATGTCGGTCGCATCATTTTTCGCATTGTGGCTGCCATTTAATCAGCAAACCAAATCTTTGCAAATAAATTATTGAAATTTCTATCAAAAATATGGTGTTCATTTTTAATATAAATAATGGGCTGCAATGTTACAAATACGCTTTTAAATGAAAAACAGTTTCAAACTGAAATTGGAGCAACGGAAGCGTGAAAAGTGACAAAGAAAAAAGAAAAAAAAGACCTTATCGATTTTATTTTCCTAACAAGAACTTTGCGGTGATTGTACAATTGTCCGTTGATACGAGAGAAAAAAAATATCGATTCGCTTGACGTAGCACGCAAGCCACTTTTATCAGCGCACTGCTAGATGGCTTCATTTCAAAACCGCTTCATAGGCCAAACCTATGTATTGGATGCTACGATAACATAATATTTTATCGTGGCAATTGAAATACCCTACACCACGACGAGTACATACTTCACATTCTGCTTTTTCCCTATCTTCCTCCAATTTCACGTCGCATTTGTTGTCGGTCAATTTATAGCAATTAAAAAGGAAAAAATTATTGAAATTTGGCACATTCCACCGCCGTAATTTAATCAGCGTCAAAATTTTTCACCAATTGACGTGCAAAGAACATTGGATTATTGGATAAATGCAGGGAGTCAAAGACTCGTCGCTCAGGCTGAATTCAGTCTATTGCGAGACAGTCTGGTTCGTGCAACTAAAATGAATCGGAAAAATCGACCAAAATGAAAGTTTTGCTGACTAAAATAACTTCTTCACTCTCTCATTTTTAAATTGAGTTTGATTTAATGCACTGGTTTTTCCATTCGAAGGAGAACAAATGTGTTTTCACGTTGAATCTGGAAAGCGCTTGGTTTACTGAAATGAATAAAAGTACGCATGAGCTTAATTATTCTTTACGCGTTCAACAAAAGAGTATGGCATCATTCTGGCGCGGTAGTAATTTCATTTGTGTTGCATTCAGCTTTTAGTGAATTTTTATAGAGCATTCGCGAACAAAAAAAAAGAACCGTTCAAGTGTGAGGCGGAACGTTTTTTGCAAACCTAATTGTCTGGCGTCCAGAAACTCATGAGAATCGCTCAATTTGTAATATTTTCAGTACGACCTCTGTTCCGACACTTGATGGAAATAAGAAGAAGCGTGAGGAAAATTTCTTTTGCACATTTTTTCTCTCCTGCGATATTCCCATGGGCCAACTTCAAGCCAAATTATATCCCATCCAATTCGTGTGCATGGCGGCTAAGAGCTTGCTTGCAAGAAACCACACTGATTCGATAACTTCATCTCTTTTTGTGCACTGCCAGTTTTCACCATCGACACAAAAAAGATTCCTCTTGATTTAAATCAAACCGAAAACGCTCGGGTCTTTTTGAAGTGTAAAATTTTGGCTCTTGTTTCGTTGGTTGACTTTTCGTACTTTCGAATAAAAGAAATTCCAAGTTGGATATTTCCAAGAGAAAATTCTTTCGAAAAATTGATGCCATGTTGAGGATGGAAAAAAAGTTTGGAAAGCTGCCATTATCAAAAGAGCGATATTATTGAGTTTGTACTGTAAACCATAATGGTCGCGTTGCTTTGGTTAGTCATCACAAAAGTCGAATCTGGCACATCGCTTGAGATCGTTGCGGCGAAACATGTGCAAATACTCATTCATTGTTGACACGCAGAGCAATTCCAGTTTAATATTGATTATTGCAGAATGCACACACACAGGGAGAGAGAGAGAGAGAAAAGAAAAACAAAGAATTTAAAGCAAGGACCAACAGCAAGAACTCAAGCGAAGCATTTATATGCATCGTGTAATCGTACACAGCTTGCCATTATTGTCTATGTTTAGTATATGGGTATAAATAAAAGGAATATATAGATATTTCTTTGTTGTGTGCTTTGACACACTGATTGCAGACGATATCTTGAGATGAATACA